TTGTTGTAGGAGGCGACTATGCTTGTTGTAGGAGGCGACTATGCTTGTTGTAGGAGGCGACTATGCTTGTTGTAGGAGGCGACTATGCTTGTTGTAGGAGGCGACTATGCTTGTTGTAGGAGGGGACTATGCTTGTTGTAGGAGGCGACTATGCTTGTTGTAGGAGGGGACTATGCTTGTTGTAGGAGGCGACTATGCTTGGCGTAACAGGCGACTATGCTTGTTGTAGGAGGGGACTATGCTTGTTGTAGGAGGCGACTATGCTTGTTGTAGGAGGGGACTATGCTTGTTGTAGGAGGCGACTATGCTTGTTGTAGGAGGGGACTATGCTTGTTGTAGGAGGGGACTATGCTTGTTGTAGGAGGCGACTATGCTTGGCGTAACAGGCGACTATGCTTGTTGTAGGAGGGGACTATGCTTGTTGTAGGAGGCGACTATGCTTGTTGTAGGAGGCGACTATGCTTGTTGTAGGAGGCGACTATGCTTGTTGTAGGAGGGGACTATGCTTGTTGTAGGAGGCGACTATGCTTGTTGTAGGAGGCGACTATGCTTGTTGTAGGAGGCGACTATGCTTGTTGTAGGAGGCGACTATGCTTGTTGTAGGAGGCGACTATGCTTGTTGTAGGAGGGGACTATGCTTGTTGTAGGAGGCGACTATGCTTGTTGTAGGAGGGGACTATGCTTGTTGTAGGAGGCGACTATGCTTGGCGTAACAGGCGACTATGCTTGTTGTAGGAGGGGACTATGCTTGTTGTAGGAGGCGACTATGCTTGTTGTAGGAGGGGACTATGCTTGTTGTAGGAGGCGACTATGCTTGTTGTAGGAGGGGACTATGCTTGTTGTAGGAGGGGACTATGCTTGTTGTAGGAGGCGACTATGCTTGGCGTAACAGGCGACTATGCTTGTTGTAGGAGGGGACTATGCTTGTTGTAGGAGGCGACTATGCTTGTTGTAGGAGGCGACTATGCTTGTTGTAGGAGGCGACTATGCTTGTTGTAGGAGGGGACTATGCTTGTTGTAGGAGGCGACTATGCTTGTTGTAGGAGGGGACTATGCTTGTTGTAGGAGGGGACTATGCTTGTTGTAGGAGGGGACTATGCTTGTTGTAGGAGGCGACTATGCTTGTTGTAGGAGGGGACTATGCTTGTTGTAACAGGCGACTATGCTTGTTGTAGGAGGGGACTATGCTTGTTGTAGGAGGGGACTATGCTTGTTGTAGGAGGGGACTATGCTTGTTGTAGGAGGGGACTATGCTTGTTGTAGGAGGGGACTATGCTTGTTGTAGGAGGCGACTATGCTTGTTGTAGGAGGGGACTATGCTTGTTGTAGGAGGCGACTATGCTTGTTGTAGGAGGCGACTATGCTTGTTGTAGGAGGGGACTATGCTTGTTGTAGGAGGGGACTATGCTTGTTGTAGGAGGCGACTATGCTTGTTGTAGGAGGCGACTATGCTTGTTGTAGGAGGCGACTATGCTTGTTGTAGGAGGGGACTATGCTTGTTGTAGGAGGGGACTATGCTTGTTGTAGGAGGCGACTATGCTTGTTGTAGGAGGGGACTATGCTTGTTGTAGGAGGCGACTATGCTTGTTGTAGGAGGCGACTATGCTTGTTGTAGGAGGCGACTATGCTTGTTGTAGGAGGCGACTATGCTTGTTGTAGGAGGCGACTATGCTTGTTGTAGGAGGCGACTATGCTTGTTGTAGGAGGCGACTATGCTTGTTGTAGGAGGGGACTATGCTTGTTGTAGGAGGCGACTATGCTTGTTGTAGGAGGCGACTATGCTTGTTGTAGGAGGCGACTATGCTTGTTGTAGGAGGCGACTATGCTTGTTGTAGGAGGCGACTATGCTTGTTGTAGGAGGCGACTATGCTTGTTGTAGGAGGGGACTATGCTTGTTGTAGGAGGCGACTATGCTTGTTGTAGGAGGGGACTATGCTTGTTGTAGGAGGCGACTATGCTTGTTGTAGGAGGGGACTATGCTTGTTGTAGGAGGGGACTATGCTTGTTGTAGGAGGCGACTATGCTTGTTGTAGGAGGCGACTATGCTTGTTGTAGGAGGGGACTATGCTTGTTGTAGGAGGCGACTATGCTTGTTGTAGGAGGCGACTATGCTTGTTGTAGGAGGCGACTATGCTTGTTGTAGGAGGGGACTATGCTTGTTGTAGGAGGGGACTATGCTTGTTGTAGGAGGCGACTATGCTTGTTGTAGGAGGGGACTATGCTTGTTGTAGGAGGGGACTATGCTTGTTGTAGGAGGCGACTATGCTTGTTGTAGGAGGCGACTATGCTTGTTGTAGGAGGCGACTATGCTTGTTGTAGGAGGGGACTATGCTTGTTGTAGGAGGGGACTATGCTTGTTGTAGGAGGCGACTATGCTTGTTGTAGGAGGGGACTATGCTTGTTGTAGGAGGCGACTATGCTTGTTGTAGGAGGGGACTATGCTTGTTGTAGGAGGCGACTATGCTTGTTGTAGGAGGCGACTATGCTTGTTGTAGGAGGGGACTATGCTTGTTGTAGGAGGCGACTATGCTTGTTGTAGGAGGCGACTATGCTTGTTGTAGGAGGCGACTATGCTTGTTGTAGGAGGGGACTATGCTTGTTGTAGGAGGCGACTATGCTTGTTGTAGGAGGGGACTATGCTTGTTGTAGGAGGGGACTATGCTTGTTGTAGGAGGGGACTATGCTTGTTGTAGGAGGCGACTATGCTTGTTGTAGGAGGGGACTATGCTTGTTGTAGGAGGCGACTATGCTTGTTGTAGGAGGCGACTATGCTTGTTGTAGGAGGGGACTATGCTTGTTGTAGGAGGCGACTATGCTTGTTGTAGGAGGGGACTATGCTTGTTGTAGGAGGCGACTATGCTTGTTGTAGGAGGCGACTATGCTTGTTGTAGGAGGGGACTATGCTTGTTGTAGGAGGGGACTATGCTTGTTGTAGGAGGCGACTATGCTTGTTGTAGGAGGCGACTATGCTTGTTGTAGGAGGCGACTATGCTTGTTGTAGGAGGGGACTATGCTTGTTGTAGGAGGGGACTATGCTTGTTGTAGGAGGGGACTATGCTTGTTGTAGGAGGGGACTATGCTTGTTGTAGGAGGGGACTATGCTTGTTGTAGGAGGGGACTATGCTTGTTGTAGGAGGGGACTATGCTTGTTGTAGGAGGGGACTATGCTTGTTGTAGGAGGGGACTATGCTTGTTGTAGGAGGGGACTATGCTTGTTGTAGGAGGCGACTATGCTTGTTGTAGGAGGCGACTATGCTTGTTGTAGGAGGGGACTATGCTTGTTGTAGGAGGCGACTATGCTTGTTGTAGGAGGGGACTATGCTTGTTGTAGGAGGCGACTATGCTTGTTGTAGGAGGGGACTATGCTTGTTGTAGGAGGCGACTATGCTTGTTGTAGGAGGGGACTATGCTTGTTGTAGGAGGCGACTATGCTTGTTGTAGGAGGCGACTATGCTTGTTGTAGGAGGGGACTATGCTTGTTGTAGGAGGCGACTATGCTTGTTGTAGGAGGGGACTATGCTTGTTGTAGGAGGCGACTATGCTTGTTGTAGGAGGGGACTATGCTTGTTGTAGGAGGCGACTATGCTTGTTGTAGGAGGCGACTATGCTTGTTGTAGGAGGGGACTATGCTTGTTGTAGGAGGGGACTATGCTTGTTGTAGGAGGCGACTATGCTTGTTGTAGGAGGGGACTATGCTTGTTGTAGGAGGCGACTATGCTTGTTGTAGGAGGGGACTATGCTTGTTGTAGGAGGGGACTATGCTTGTTGTAGGAGGCGACTATGCTTGTTGTAGGAGGGGACTATGCTTGTTGTAGGAGGGGACTATGCTTGTTGTAGGAGGGGACTATGCTTGTTGTAGGAGGCGACTATGCTTGTTGTAGGAGGGGACTATGCTTGTTGTAGGAGGCGACTATGCTTGTTGTAGGAGGCGACTATGCTTGTTGTAGGAGGCGACTATGCTTGTTGTAGGAGGCGACTATGCTTGTTGTAGGAGGGGACTATGCTTGTTGTAGGAGGCGACTATGCTTGTTGTAGGAGGGGACTATGCTTGTTGTAGGAGGCGACTATGCTTGTTGTAGGAGGGGACTATGCTTGTTGTAGGAGGGGACTATGCTTGTTGTAGGAGGCGACTATGCTTGTTGTAGGAGGCGACTATGCTTGTTGTAGGAGGGGACTATGCTTGTTGTAGGAGGCGACTATGCTTGTTGTAGGAGGGGACTATGCTTGTTGTAGGAGGGGACTATGCTTGTTGTAGGAGGGGACTATGCTTGTTGTAGGAGGGGACTATGCTTGTTGTAGGAGGGGACTATGCTTGTTGTAGGAGGCGACTATGCTTGTTGTAGGAGGCGACTATGCTTGTTGTAGGAGGGGACTATGCTTGTTGTAGGAGGGGACTATGCTTGTTGTAGGAGGGGACTATGCTTGTTGTAGGAGGGGACTATGCTTGTTGTAGGAGGGGACTATGCTTGTTGTAGGAGGGGACTATGCTTGTTGTAGGAGGGGACTATGCTTGTTGTAGGAGGCGACTATGCTTGTTGTAGGAGGGGACTATGCTTGTTGTAGGAGGCGACTATGCTTGTTGTAGGAGGCGACTATGCTTGTTGTAGGAGGCGACTATGCTTGTTGTAGGAGGGGACTATGCTTGTTGTAGGAGGCGACTATGCTTGTTGTAGGAGGGGACTATGCTTGTTGTAGGAGGGGACTATGCTTGTTGTAGGAGGGGACTATGCTTGTTGTAGGAGGCGACTAACGGAATAAGGTGGTCAGACTCCCAATTGCGTGGATCGATGTTCATGTTGTCAATCACAGGATTGTCTGATCCAGACTCGATTACTTACAGACTGCCGTCATATCACTGGAATATTGCTGAGTGCGGCGTTAAACAACAAACAAACAATAAAAAATACCAGTGTTTATCCGTGCCCCCTGTGTTGGTGGTTGACGGCGGTAAAAGGTATTTGACAGTTGTTGACATGTCATACAGTGTGACAGTTACTTACAGATAGGAAGACTGCCACGACCGCCTGGCCCGCCACGCTGCCACTGGCGTTCCCTCCGTCACGTACATGGACCAGGTGCATCTGGGGAAGAGAGGAAGTCCGATGACAGACTGACACAGGTCTGAATGTCGTACAGGCGGAAGTACACTGAACAGTTACGTTAAGAGAAGACATTTGAGGAATGAACAGACATTACGTTCACGCCCGCTCATAGCACTGGGACTGAATTCGGGGAGAGAGAGGCCACCGATTCACAGTTAAACCACTTAAGTCCGAAAAGCACCGGAGCTGCCAGCAGTGTCTATGTCTATGTCTCGGTTGACTGTTGAGGGAGTTGCAAGCACCCACGTTCAGGATGTTGACTGTTGTGGTTACTACCCCACCTCCGGATGTATTAGGTGACCCGGGGTTCAAAAATAGACACCTGCACATACTGCGACCCGTTAGGTCAGCCAGGTGGTCCTGTAGGTTCTGTTGTAAAATCGTGGCACCTGATGTGAAAAAAAACAACCAAAAAAACAAACTGCTTGTCGGGCTTATTGAGTTGACTGGTTCCCGTCAACGTGCTCCGATCGCTGCAACTGTTTCCCGGGCTTTCAGTCGTCGATGTGTATGTTCAGACCGCATTATTTATTGACAGGCCGCCATGGTATGGGTGTACTATTACTTAAACAACATTTATTCACCTAATCTACTTCAACATTATCCTCCTGTCTTGACTGTCTTCTAGACGCCCCTACCGTGTAGCTGGTGCGTGCAGGCCGCCATGGTATGGGTGTACTATTACTTAAACAACATTTATTCACCTAATCTACTTCAACATTATCCTCCTGTCTTGACTGTCTTCTAGACGCCCCTACCGTGTAGCTGGTGCGTGTAGCTGGTGCGTGTAGCTGGTGCGTGTAGCTGGTGCGTGCAGCTGGTGCGTGTAGCTGGTGCGTGTAGCTGGTGCGTGCTGGCCGGGCTCACCTCGCCATCATAGCGTTTCCCGAACACTCTGTGCTCCGTGCCGTGGCGAGATCCGGTCTTGCCCACGTGGATGTGGAGGCTGTTGAGCCGGAAGCTGCAGTCGGTGTAGCCAGGGACGCCCTGCAGAACGATGTCCGGAAAAGTACCTTCGGCGATCTTTGGATAGTAACCTAAGATGAAAAAAAGTGTCTGTTCAACATTGGTTTCCATAAAGTTTGTCAGCTGAAACAGCTGAAACAGCTGAAACTTGCAAATATGAGTTAACTGTGTCACTAGCGCGGTGCACAGGAGAGTGTCAGCGGAATGGGTCTGTGCACCACGTGACCAACGGGTGACGGGTGTAAACGAACGATCGATGATGACGTCATGTCGCATTGTTTATAATAAGCAATGGGATTCTCTAAACTTCAAATGTGAGGCGAGTTTAGCTCTAAACACCTGCTCAGTACTCACCTGATGAAGGAACAAGAAGTAGCTCTGACACGTCGTGACGAAGAATTATAGAAGTTGCTATCTATAAACATCTTACCAAGGCAAGGGAGTTAACTGACTATAAAAGTCCAGTTTCCATCCTTGCCGAACTAAGTTGCAATAATGGAGTTATGTTTTGGCTTGACTAACGAGCTTCTGAATAATCCAATCGAAATCGCGTCACGAACTAGACATCCGGTTAGAAACCAACATGGATTTCAACGTGTAGATTTCGGTCGACTGTAGGATAATCAAAGCATGTGTACCGTCAGCTGTACATCGACAGATATTTTACAAATTATGTCATGCTTTAAGGTGCTCACGTGATTTGATGCACTTAGCGAGGCAAATGCAAGTGATATGAGAGATGGAATCTGATTGGTCAATAGAAGGAACATAGAAGGGACACTGGTGGCGCTACGATCGAGCCCAGAAATTCCAAGGGTGGAAACTGGACTTTTATAGCCAGGTAACTCCCTTGCCTCGGGAAGATGATCCATAAAAAGTGTCATGTATTTGGCAATGTTGTCGAAATGCACTCATTGACATCAGTGTCCACCCTAGATTATTGTCCTGGCAGGTGTGTTATGTCATATATGCCATGGGGTAGGAACACGAAAAACCATTTGGAATAATTTGGACAGTTTTTTACTTCAAACTTTATGTTAAACGTTAGAAAAAATCCATTTCCCTCCAATTTCCAGGTACAGAAATTATTAGGAAATTTTACAATTTCAAATGTCTTGCGCACGTTAGGCAGTAATGAGATACGATTGGCATCTTTGCGTTTGGAATACATAGAAGTCCATACATGCACAAGTGGAATCAATTATTTGTGTGTCATTTTATTTCCTTTAATGACCATACACAGTTATCAAAATTCAATCAAACCTCATGAAATACATTAGGAATAAATGGACATACAGTGCATAACAAGTTTCATCTCAACGGGTGCTCGGTATCCCTGCAGGGTATGTAAACCAAGTCACAGCTCGTTTCGATGGACAAAGGATGCTCAGTACATTAGCGAAGGACATTTAATGGCAAGTGGCCAAGGGCAAGATAAAGCCTTAGCGTGTTTGTTCATTTTCACAGAGAACATTGGACGAAGAAATATTACGACAGTAACATTGTGCGTTAAAATGCACAAAAACACGAACATTTAAGCGCCTTCTTTTACGAACAACAATGACGAACAATTGAAGTATGATGAACAATGGAAGTATGAGGAACAATGAGAGTATGATGAACAATGGAAGTATGATGAACAGTGGAAGTATGAGGAACAATGGAAGTATGAGGAACAATGGAAGTATGATGAACAATGGAAGTATGATGAACAATGGAAGTATGATGAACAATGGAAGTATGAGGAACAATGGAAGTATGAGGAACAATGGAAGTATGACTAACAATGGAAGTATGATGAACAATGGAAGTATGATGAACAATGGAAGTATGATGAATAATGGAAGTATAACTAACAATGGAAGTATGATGAACAATGGAAGTATGATGAACAGTGGAAGTATGACGAACAATGGAAGTATGACGAACAATGGAAGTATGAGGAACAATGAGAGTATGATGAACAATTGAAGTATAATGAACAGTGGAAGTATGAGGAACAATGGAAGTATGAGGAACAATGGAAGTATGATGAACAATGGAAGTATGAGGAACAATGGAAGTATGAGGAACAATGGAAGTATGACTAACAATGGAAGTATGATGAACAATGGAAGTATGATGAACAATGGAAGTATGATGAACAATGGAAGTATGATGAATAATGGAAGTATGACTAACAATGGAAGTATGAGGAACAATGGAAGTATGACTTACAATGGAAGTATGATGAACAATGGAAGTATGAGGAACAATGGAAGTATGACTAACAATAGAAGTATGATGAACAATGAAAGTATGAGGAACAATGGAAGTATGAGGAACAATGGAAGTATAACTTACAATGGAAGTATGAGGAACAATGGAAGTATGATGAACAATGGAATTATGAGGAACAATGGAAGTATGATGAACAATGGAAGTATGATGAATAATGGAAGTATAACTAACAATGGAAGTATGATGAACAATGGAAGTATGATGAACAGTGGAAGTATGACGAACAATGGAAGTATGACGAACAATGGAAGTATGAGGAACAATGAGAGTATGATGAACAATTGAAGTATAATGAACAGTGGAAGTATGAGGAACAATGGAAGTATGAGGAACAATGGAAGTATGATGAACAATGGAAGTATGAGGAACAATGGAAGTATGAGGAACAATGGAAGTATGACTAACAATGGAAGTATGATGAACAATGGAAGTATGATGAACAATGGAAGTATGATGAACAATGGAAGTATGATGAATAATGGAAGTATGACTAACAATGGAAGTATGAGGAACAATGGAAGTATGACTTACAATGGAAGTATGATGAACAATGGAAGTATGAGGAACAATGGAAGTATGACTAACAATAGAAGTATGATGAACAATGAAAGTATGAGGAACAATGGAAGTATGAGGAACAATGGAAGTATAACTTACAATGGAAGTATGAGGAACAATGGAAGTATGATGAACAATGGAATTATGAGGAACAATGGAAGTATGATGAACAATGGAAGTATGATCAGCAAAGGAAGTATGATGAACAGTGGAAGTATGATGCACAATGGAAGTATGGCGAACAGTGGAAGTATGAGGAACAATGGAAGTATGAGGAACAATGGAAGTATGAGGAACAATGGAAGTATGATGAATAATGGAAGTATGACTTACAATGGAACTATGAGGAACAATGGAAGTATGACGAACGATGGAAGTATGAGGAACAATGGAAGTATGAGGAACAATGGAAGTATAACTAACAATGGAAGTATGAGGAACAATGGAAGTATGATGAACAGTGGAAGTATGAGGAACCATGGAAGTATGAGTAACAAAGGAAGTATGAGGAACAATGGAAGTATGGGTACAATGGAAGTATGATGAACAATGGAAGTATAACTAACAATGGAAGTATGAGGAACAATGGAAGTATGATGAACAGTGGAAGTATGAGGAACAATGGAAGTATGATGTACAATGGAAGTATGAGGAACAATGGAAGTATGATGAACAGTGGAAGTATGAGGAACAATGGAAGTATAACTAACAATGGAAGTATGATGAACAATGGAAGTATGAGGAACAATGGAAGTATAACTAACAATGGAAGTATGAGGAACAATGGAAGTGTGATCAACAAAGGAAGTATGATGAACAGTGGAAGTATAATGCACAATGGAAGTATGACGAACAGTGGAAGTATGATTAGGGAAAGATGCAATAAAGTTCGCCTGTTCATTTTCCTATGTTGCCGAAGAGGCGTTACATCAAGTGCTGCCTCTCGCTTACATGTGAATGATGCAGCAACACTCTGATTCTCTGAACATGCATGTATATAGCAGGGACATCTTTTTCACAGACATTGTTTGCAAATAAAGCGACAAAACCCTTTCCGTATCCAATATAAATCTAGATTGTACGATTCCGACTATACCATAAGCTTGTGTTTATGAATCACTATCAAATAGTGATGATACCAGGTGTTCGCGAAAAGGTGATCCTGCCCCACTGATGGCACCCGTCACAATCACATGTAAATGGAAGTCAATTGTTCAACTGAAAAAGCACGGGAACATATGGTACATTCCAGAATGGGGAATTGCATTGGGCATAATTTGTGTTACTGATGCGTCACATTTGGAAATATCCTCCACATATCTACCATAAAGCCTTATGAAATCTATACTGATGCCTAGAATATTGTAACCTTGATCAAACAACTTCTGTGCAAGAGTAGTCTGACGCTCTTTGAAATCTTGGTAGGAAGAACATGCTCGATTGTCTCTCAAAAGTTTTGAAATGTAAACATGAAAGGCTGGAGCTGCTGGAATATTGCTCCACATGAAGGGAAAGTTTACTATTGGAAAGTTGAAGTCATCCCTCTTGTCAAACAGTCTTGTGCAGTTTTGTTTTTTCATTCTAAATCTTTATGCGTAGATCTAAATATCAAACAAATGAGGCGGCCTCACTGGTCTCCTTTATTTCTTGTTTAGGTGGGTAAATCAGTGGAAGGCAATTGGCTATTTGAGTGTTATTGAACGATATCAGATCATCGATATACCTGAAGCTTAAGTTAAACTCCTCGGCCAAATTGCCTTGTTTTGACTTTGCCAATCCGAGCAGAAACTCTGATTCATATGCAGAAAGAAACAGATCCGCAAATTGGTGCCCCTAGGGATATCTACTTCTTGTCTTACCCCAAAATTAGATATTATCAATGAGGAAGTCCAGTATTTCACATATTGTTTTCTCAGAAAACTTCAAATGGCATTTGCTTTCAATTTTCACAAATTATTAATCCTGATACGCAACTGTATATGTGGTCACCACATTTTGTAACAAAAGCCCCATGGATCAAGGAATGGAGCGGTGTACAAAGTTGAAAAAGCAAATATTTTGACAGAATGAAACTTGGTTCTTTTCTGAGATTGGAAAAGGTCAGGCAAATCATTTGAGTTGAGTTGTTCATTTGGACCCAGCAATGTATCTCTCTTTGGAGCTTTGGATACCAGTACGAAGGAGGAATGGACATGGCTTCAGGTTTTAGAGTCAAGTCAAAAGTTAACAGTGCTGATTTCTGGTCTTGGCAGATGCCTCTCTGTCTCTCTTTTTCTCTGTCTCTCTGACAGTATGCAGTATGTGTATGTTGAGGAAAGTATGAGGGTGAGGTATAATTGTGAGTATATATGTAGCAGAGAGTGTTGAGATGGGGTGACGTAGAGGTGTGAGTATATATGTGGCAGAGAGTGTAGAAATGGGTGACGTAGAGGTGTGAGTATATATGTGGCAGAGAGTGTTGAGATTGAGTGACGTAGAGGTGTGAGTATCTATGTGGCAGAGAGTGTTCAGATGGGGTGACGTAGAGGTGTGAGTATATATGTGGCAGAGAGTGTTGAGAGTGTTGAGATGGGATGACGTAGAGGTGTGAGTATATATGTGGCAGAGAGTGTTCAGATGGGGTGACGTAGAGGTGTGAGTATATATTTGTGGCAGAGAGTGTTGAGAGTGTTGAGATGGGATGACGTAGAGTTGTGAGTATATATGTGGCAGAGAGTGTTCAGATGGGGTGACGTAGAGGGGTGAGTATATATGTGGCAGAGTGTGTAGAAATGGGTGACGTAGAGGTGTGAGTATATATGTGGCAGAGAGTGTTGAGATTGAGTGACGTAGAGGTGTGAGTATATATGTGGCAGAGAGTGTTCAGATGGGGTGACGTAGAGGTGTGAGTATATATGTGGCAGAGAGTGTTGAGAGTGTTGAGATGGGATGACCTAGAGTTGTGAGTATATATGTGGCAGAGAGTGTTCAGATGGAGTGACATAGAGGTGTGAGTATATATGTGGAAGAGAGTGTTCAGATGGAGTGACGTAGAGGTGTGAGTATATATGTGGCAGAGAGTGTTGAGATGGGGTGACGTAGAGGTGTGACTATATATGTGGCGGAGAGTGTTGAGAGTGTTGAGATGGGGTGACGTAGAGGTGTGAGTATATATGTGGCAGAGAGTGTTGAGAGTGTTGAGATGGGGTGACGTAGAGGTGTGAGTATATATGTGGCAGAGAGTGTTGAGATGGGGTGACGTAGAGGTGTGAGTATATATGTGGCAGAGAGTGTTCAGATGGAGTGACGTAGAGGTGTGAGTATATATGTGGCAGAGAGTTCTTGAGAGTGTTGAGATGGAGTGACGTAGAGGTGTGAGTATATACGTGGCAGAGAGTGTTGAGATGTTGTGACGTAGAGGTGTGAGTATATATGGGGCAGATAGTGTTGAGATGTTGTGACGTAGAGGTGTGAATATATATGTGGCAGAGAGTGTTCAGATGGGGTGACGTAGAGGTGTGAGTATATATGTGGCAGAGAGTGTTGAGATGGGATGACGTAGAGTTGTGAGTATATATGTGGCAGAGAGTGTTGAGATGGGGTGACGTAGAGGTGTGAGTATATATGTGGCAGAGAGTGTTCAGATGGAGTGACGTAGAGGTGTGAGTATATATGTGGCAGAGAGTTCTTCAGAGTGTTGAGATGGAGTGACGTAGAGGTGTGAGTATATACGTGGCAGAGAGTGTTGAGATGTTGTGACGTAGAGGTGTGAGTATATATGTGGCAGAGAGTGTTGAGATGGGGTGACGTAGAGGTGTGACTATATATGTGGCGGAGAGTGTTGAGAGTGTTGAGATGGGGTGACGTAGAGGTGTGAGTATATATGTGGCAGAGAGTGTTGAGAGTGTTGAGATGGGGTGACGTAGAGGTGTGAGTATATATGTGGCAGAGAGTGTTGAGATGGGGTGACGTAGAGGTGTGAGTATATATGTGGCAGAGAGTGTTCAGATGGAGTGACGTAGAGGTGTGAGTATATATGTGGCAGAGAGTTCTTGAGAGTGTTGAGATGGAGTGACGTAGAGGTGTGAGTATATACGTGGCAGAGAGTGTTGAGATGTTGTGACGTAGAGGTGTGAGTATATATGGGGCAGATAGTGTTGAGATGTTGTGACGTAGAGGTGTGAATATATATGTGGCAGAGAGTGTTCAGATGGGGTGACGTAGAGGTGTGAGTATATATGTGGCAGAGAGTGTTGAGATGGGATGACGTAGAGTTGTGAGTATATATGTGGCAGAGAGTGTTGAGATGGGGTGACGTAGAGGTGTGAGTATATATGTGGCAGAGAGTGTTCAGATGGAGTGACGTAGAGGTGTGAGTATATATGTGGCAGAGAGTTCTTCAGAGTGTTGAGATGGAGTGACGTAGAGGTGTGAGTATATACGTGGCAGAGAGTGTTGAGATGTTGTGACGTAGAGGTGTGAGTATATATGTGGCAGAGAGTGTTGAGATGGGGTGACGTAGAGGTGTGAGTATATATGTGGCGGAGAGTGTTGAGATGGGGTGACGTAGAGGTGTGAGTATATATGTGGCAGATAGTGTTGAGATGTTGTGACGTAGAGGTGTGAGTATATATGTGGCAGAGAGTGTTGAGATGGGATGACGTAGAGGTGTGAGTATATACGTGGCAGATAGTGTTGAGATGTTGTGACGTAGAGGTGTGAGTATTTATGTGGCAGAGAGTGTTGAGATGGGGTGACGTAGAGGTGTGAGTATATATGTGGCAGATAGTGTTGAGATGTTGTGACGTAGAGGTGTGAGTATATATGTGGCAGAGAGTGTTCAGATGGGGTGACGTAGAGGTGTGAGTATATATGTGGCAGAGAGTGTTGAGAGTGTTGAGATGGGATGACGTAGAGGTGTGAGTATATATGTGGCAGAGAGTGTTGAGAGTGTTCAGATGGGATGACGTAGAGGTGTGAGTATATATGTGGCAGAGAGTGTTCAGATGGGATGACGTAGAGGTGTGAGTCTATATGTGGCAGAGAGTGTTTAGATGGAGTGAAGTAGAGGTGTGAGTATATATGTGGCAGATAGTGTTGAGATGGGGGGACGTAGAGGTGTGAGTATATATGTGGCAGAGAGTGTTGGGATGGGTGACATAGAGGTGTGAGTATATATGTGGCAGAGAGTGTTGGGGTGACGTACAGATATGTATATGTATGTAGAGAAACATGAGGGTTAAGTAGAGGTGTCAAGTGGACGTGGTAGGACTGGTGGGTGTTGGTTGTTCATCATGAGGAGGTATTGCTCGACACTCACCGTCGTTTTCGAGGAGGCCGGTGACGAGTTGACGAGGGGGATAGCCAAGACGGTGGTTGGGGTCACAGAAGTACTTGACCAGGTGGGGGTAGATGCGGACGGGGGACTGGTTAGAACCGCCGAAACATGGAGACGTGTCACACACCCTGTTCCAGTCGTCGGGTCCTGAAGAAAGATGACAACATGGTGTAACTGTGATATACTGAGACTATTGAAGCATCCGTCAAGGCATGATATACTCAGACACTTCAAACACCGTTCCCAGACAGGAGTCCATTTAACAGACACTATACATTGATTTAAACACGACTGAAATGAAATGAATAAGCCCAATCGAGGTGATTTATTAGCATTTAGGGAATCAATTGTTGTTAAAACCAGATTGAACACGTTTATGCAACAGCATGGCAGGGTGATGGGGAGGAAATCCCACAGTGACGTTTTATATTTCAACCACAGGAATACGAGCGTGAGCCTGACAGGGATATTCAGAGCTATCAACCCCCCCCCCCCCCCATATAATATTTAATAGTCGGTCCCTACGTAGACCTAATTATTCACACGCACACGCACACGCACACGCACACGCTGACACACGCGCCACTCACCAATGCTGGACCTTCTGTTGTAAGAGAAGCAGTACTCCGTCCTCTGGCGACAGACTTTCGGGGGCTCGAGGGGACTGTGTTGGGCCGGGGGAAGGAACGACTGGGGGTAGACGTCAGCGAGCAGCACCCCTGACAGCGTGGTAGCCACCAACAGAGACACGGTCCACATCGTCGTCGTCGGTGCTTGCAACTCCGGCCACGGACACAGTTTCACAGCTATTAGCACCTCAGTTTATTTGTAAGAAAAAAGTAGCAGCTGAGAGCTCACCTGATTCAAAACATTGTATTGTGAAAATATAAAGAAAGTAGGAAAAAAGTTCTGAAATTAAGGATACTTGTTTGAACATCGGAACGTGTATGTACGATTGGGTGACCAGTCAAAGACAGACACATTCGGAAAGTCTGCACTTAATGTGGGGAGTCGGGAATAAGATGTTAACAGTCGTATAAGTAATATCATCGGTTGTATGTTGTGTGTCGAGGATGCCGCCTTCAAGCCTTGATGTATCCACGATGTATCCACGATGTATCCACGGTGTATGCACGATGTATCTACGATGTATCCACGATGTATGCACGATGTATGCACGATGTATGCACGATGTATCCACGGTGTATGCACGATGTATCTACGATGTATCCACGATGTATGCACGATGTATCCACGATGTATGCACGATGTATCTACGATGTATCCACGATGTATGCACGATGTATGCACGATGTATGCACGATGTATCCACGGTGTATGCACGATGTATCTACGATGTATCCACGATGTATCCACGGTGTATGCACGATGTATCTACGATGTATGCACGATGTATCCACGATGTATGCACGATGTATCTACGATGTATCCACGATGTATGCACGATGTATGCACGATGTATGCACGATGTATCCACGGTGTATGCACGATGTATCTACGATGTATCCACGATGTATCCACGGTGTATGCACGATGTATGCACGATGTATCTACGATGTATCCACGGTGTATGCACGATGTATCTACGATGTATCCACGATGTATCCACGGTGTATGCACGATGTATGCACGATGTATCCACGATGTATCTACGATGTATCCACGGTGTATCCACGATGTATCTACGATGTATCTACGATGTATCCACGATGTATCCACGATGTATCCACGATGTATCCACGATGTATCCACGATGTATCCACGGTGTATGCACGATGTATCTACGATGTATCCACGGTGTATGCACGGTGTATCTACGATGTATCCACGGTGTATCCACGATGTATCCACGGTGTATGCACGATGTATCTACGATGTATCCACCATGCATCCACAATGTACCCACGATGCATCAATGTAATAATCGCAAGCAGCCTTCATTGAGCACAATATCAGTGAGTGGTCAGTGTCACCTTCAGTGGTATTTCAGTTATTACACGGCCGTTAAGCCCCTATCTCACATTTACGAATCTGAACACGAATTAAAGCCACCCTGACACTTGCACGATTTTGGTCCCTGCAATGCGGCGCAATGCGTCGTGGCAAGGCGCGCCATTTCGGTGGTACGCAGTGGAGCGTGAAGCCGCGCTTGCGCCCTGTTCGCGCACTGTACACGCATAAGTTACGCAATGTCTACGCAATGCACGGCCAAAATGGGCCGCATTGGGACGCATTGACACGCAATGGCACGACTTGTTTACGTAAAGGTTAAGTATTGTTCGCGCATTGTTCACGCCTCCCGTACCGCAATGTCCCGCAGTGTGACACACGACACGCGTAGTTCCCGCTGTTTTCCCGCATCTCCACGCATTGCCCTGACGACTTCGCGCATGCGTGAAGTCGTCGTGGCAATTTTGGTCACGCTTTGTCTCGCATGGCGGCACGCTTCAAATCCCGTTGTTGGCGTATGTATATAAACTCCAAATAGAAGAGACGCCTCATTCCTGGACTCGCTGAGGACGATACAACATGCTGAATACCAGAGACACTGCTTTTGCAGAACAGAGAAGGTGTCTATATCTGGCAGCTGCAGGAATATTACTTCTTGAAGAGCAGGAGAAAAGGCAGCAAGAGCAAAAGGAAGAGCATGGGAAAGAAAAAGAGACATCCCTAACTAGAACAAAGAAAGCAAGGGCAGTGTGGGTTAGGGAATGGCTGGCTAGAAGACATGAGTTCGGACATTATGATCAGCTATTGACAGAACTCCATAAGGAAGATCCCAGAGGCTACAGAAATTACCTGAGAATGACACCTGACCTGTTCCAAGAGATTTTTGAGAAGTTAACCCCTCACCTAAAGAAACAGACCACATTCATGAGAGAACCGCTTGACGTTGGACTCAAGCTGGCTGCCACCCTCTGCTTCCTAGTCACTGGAAATTCTTATCCAAGTCCACAGTACAGCTTCAGAGTTGAAGCAAGTACAATCTGCAAGTTCTTACCAGAGGTGTGCAAAGCCATCATTGAGGTCTACAAGGACGAAGTGCTCAGCTGCCCCAAAACTGAAGAAGAGTGGAAGGAAGTTGCTGAGATGTTCAGCTCCAGATGGGACTACCACAACTGTCAGGGGGCCCTGGACGTTGCTATGATGAAGACACCCAAAGCAGGCTCCCTCTATTATAATTACAAAGGCTTCCACAGCATCGTACTCATGGCAGTTGCAGATGCTAGGTATATGTTCTTGTATGTTGATGTTGGGGCAGAGGGTGGTGTCCCATTGAGCCAGTCCTTCTGTCTCTTGTCATACAACTGTGGGTAGTCTTTTACATATTCTGCTAATTTCATGGTACCCTCATCTGTCCACTTATACTTAGGAATTTCTTCCTTGGACACTCTGATTCTCTTCTTCTGTTTTATTGTGGGCTCTTCTTCACTTGACAGTTCTATTTAAGTCTCTGTAATAACTTACAGCAGGAGGAAGGAGGAGAACGATCCCTCTCCCTGTCTGCAATCTCTGTCTCTTTCTCTGTCTCTGGCCTGTCCTCTTACTGTCTTTTCTGCACTGGTCTTCCCCTTCTTCTACGGACTTTCTCCTTGTAAGGCATGTTGTCCGTTTGCTGGCAAGTTGCAGAATGACCAGGACCCGCTTACATGCGCACTGACACGAGCGCCGTCGTCGCTCATTGGTCGGGAACTACGCACGAACAATGCGTAAACACTTCGTGAGCAGTTCGTGCATTGCGCGAATGGTTCGTGACGTGCGCGACCTATGCGTGAGCTGGGCGTTCCATGATTACGTGAACAACTGGTGACAACACCCTAACGACCGCACGATCACTCCGCGACACGCTCGAATGCGTGAACAACGTGGACAGATCGTGACCAATGCGTGGCATGGCGTGTCAGAGCGTGTAGTGGATTCCCACGGTACGCATTGACACGCACCGTCTGCATTGTTCGTGCCGAGTTCGTGCAGTGTTCACGCATGGTTCACGCAATTGGCACGCACATGGCACGAAAATTGATGCGTGCCAAATTTTTGAACATTTTGAAATTCTCTCTACGACATGGCACGCACCCCCGCACCCTTCACACACTCCTCAAGCTCGTTCACGAAGACTTTAATCTTTGGCACGCCGAAGTGCGAGCCATTGCGGGAACGAAAATCGTGCACGTGTCAGGGTGGCTTAACGTTCTTCTTTAAATCCTGTTAGAACGTATGAAGGTCGCGCACTCATTTGTGTTCATTTGTGTACAGCCGTGGTCGGTCGAGCGCGGTCGTATGGACGTTGCAGCTCGGCTTAAATCGTGTTATAAATATTTGCAATGCCGAGCTGAAAAGTCGTGTTCAGTCGTGTGAAGGTCGTATGAAGGCCGTATGAAGGTCGTATGACAGTCGTGTTCAATCGTATGAAGATCGTGTTCAGTCGTATGAAGATCGTGTTCAGTCGCGTTCAGTCGTGTTGGAGCGTGGAAAGAAACTCATACGACCTTCATACGTTTTAACACGATTCAACACGACTTTCATACGCCTTTTATACGACTCCCATACGCCTGAACACAAAATCCATACGTTTGCCATACGACCGGAAGAGCACATCACGTGACTGAGTGAGAACGTGGGAAACCCCCTTAAAGCGAAAGCTCATTTTACAGCCATGCCAAACCTCAGGCGGCCGAAACGGCTCTTCCTGTTCCTCACTCTGCGACGGCTACGCTGCCTCCTACCCCTCACCATCAAAGCCATAGCTACCAGAAGTACTTCCTCCTCCTCCAAAGCTGCTTCTTGCGGGTCTTGTTCGTTGTTGAATATGGTGAAGACTGACACAGAAATGCTGTTGCAATGCAGCTTATATACTACATGACCCACGTGACCAAAATAAACACAAATATCTCGTATGAAGGTCTTGCTCAGTCGCATGGAGATGTGTTTATTTTGGTAGTCGTATGGACATCGTAATGATACGGGTTTAATCGTATGGCGGTCGTGTTGATTCGTGTTTGGTCGTATGAGAGTCGTATTGGGGTCGTGCTAAATGAGGTTAAATCGTGTTGTATCGTATGAATATCTTATGACGGTCGTATGAGTGTCGTGTTCAGTCGTATGAAGGTCGTATGAGGGTCGTTTTTGGTCGTATGAGGGTCCTGTTTGGTTAAGAAATTTGCATAAACCACAAGGTCGAGCACGAATCAACACGATTTTTCAACTTTTCTTAAATCGTGTTCGCTATTTCTTAAATCGTGTTTGTGAGATAGGGGCTTTAGTCTTTGCAGCAATACGGTGGTGAGGTCAAATGGAGTTTAACGTCGCGTCCAAGATTATTGCACTTATATAGCGACGTGTGTGTACTAGACTCGACTGATGCCGATTTATAGCGCTAGTCCACTGAGATACCATGCCGCAATATAACCTGAATACCCCACTCAGACTCCCAGCAGGGTAACAACAAGTACCATCTTTGATGTCTTTTGGTATGACGCGGCCGGGGTTCGAACCCCGGACCGTCGCTCTCCGGGCGGACGCTCTATCTCTAGACCACGAAGGCGGTCTCTTAGCAGCAATAGATAGAAAAAGCAGGTCCAATATTGACGTAGACAATTACCAAACGATGACACGGGGGTTGTGACGTCAGATGTTGGGGTTGATCGTGAGCCGGAATATCCCCAGCGGACTTTGGCGTCTTAGTCACTCAGATTTGCACAGGTCGATATAATTGTCCTTGAGGATGGGCGAAACGAGGGTGTTGATAATCCTACCGGGGGTCACACAGCATGAGTCACTATGTCATC